ATTTTACGATCCGAGAGTCTGAGGAGTCCTTGAGGAGGAAGTGAAAGGACGAGGAGGAGGAAGCGTCTCAGGAGAAAACTGAAGTGATTATTCATTAAAGTGCCAGAGAGCGTCAACATTTTCTCTTCTACAAATGATCTGTTCTTTCATTTTACTTTTTACTGTGAATTGCCCAGATATAAATAAAACAGAGAACAAAAAGGTGCAATTATGTAACGTTTCAGGTTGAATGGTTTGGTATCTGCTTGTCTCCATGGAGATGTTATTACTTAATGAGGAATATTCTGTGGTATAGCATTAAACTTGCCAATCTCAACAAAAAAAAAAGCAGGTATGGCATCGAGACAAGTTACAGTCAGACATGTGAAGTCCACAGACAGAAAGAATGTGAAATTTACTTTAGTTTTCTTGAAATAGGGTTGATAAAAGTACAGAAAATCAGATACAATTCGATAGTAAAACTAGTATCAAAACTAGATACTCATTTGAGCAGGTATCGGAACTAAAAAGGAGCAAAAATGAATCTTTCCTGAATCTTTAGAATGATCTTGAGCTGTATCAGAACAAGTATAAGAGCACATGGACCACTGAGGGACCACGGTTTTACTTCCCTTCATTGGCTGCCTGTGTGTTTTAGAATTGATTTTAAGATTTTACTGATCACATTAAAGCTTGTTTTAGGTCTTGCACCAAGTTACGTTTCACAACTTGTAACCCCGTACGAGCCTCCTGCAGCGTTAGATCACCAGAGGACAGGAGATAAGGCTCGCACCATCAATATATTCTTTTATATCACTTCTTATAATTCATTTTTATCAATTGGCCTTATTTATTTTTATTCTATTTCTTTGGAAATGGGATTGGATTGTTTGCATCATTGTCTGTTTTTGTGCCTTCTCTGTGCTATTTTTATTGTTCTTTGCAGCTTATACAACACTTTGTAAACCGTGTTTTTTTAAAAGTGCTTTATAAATAAAGATTTATTATTATTATTACACAGATATAAGACCAGATGGGAATAGAAAAGAAAGTACTATGATCTAATGCTGAAAATCAAGAACGAGTGCTTTTTTTTGGCATTAAACTTCTGTATTTGCACAAAGACATTAGCAGCTTTAAGTCCAATTATAATGTTGTTACCTCCTCAAAAACAAACCTGGAGTGGTTTTGTTTCATTCAAACTTGATCGAAACACATTATCCAAGCTCTAAACCAGACATGTCAAACTCAGGCCCGGGGGCCAAATTTGGCCCATGATATAATTATATTTGGTCCACGAGATTAAATCAAATATGTATTAGAGCCGCCCGCCGACTACAGATGGACTATAGACACATTATTTACTTAAAATGTTATTATTTTTAATATTATGCTTGCTCTGGATTCAATGTTTAAGCAAAACTATTATTAAACATTTATTTTAATAATAAAAGTTTAACATTACATATCTCGAAAGAAGAGAAAACATGGAGATGTTTTTGAAATTTTTCAATAAATATTTAGTTTGGCCCATGACTTAGTTCTAGTTTTTAATTTCAGTCCTCTGTGAATTTGAGTTTGACACCCTCTGCTCTAAATGCTCTGTTCCACCTTGTGATGTCATGAACTGGTAGTTTTCAAGTGAACAGCTTCTTTTACCTTTAGTTCAATAGAGAAAATTGGCAATTCAGGTCTGAAAATCATCTAAATCATTCTAGTGAAGCTGTATGGAGTTTAAAAACACAGTGGAGCACTTCCTTCCAGTATCACCACATGACATCACAAGGTGGAACAGTTTTCAGTTTGAGAAAAAAACTCGAGCTAAATATGCAGAATTTGCTTGTTAAACATGCGTGAATGAAACAAAACACGAGTCCAGGTCTGTTTTTGATGAGGAAATATTAAAACAAAGATCAGAAAAAAAGCGTAATATGTGCCGTTTTGGTGAAAAATGTTCCTTGGTGTGTCTTTAAATCGAAATATCTAGGTCAAACATGAGGGGAGGCTTGAGCAGTGACCGATGTTCGCTGTAGTGTCCATCAAAGAAAGCGTCGAGGATTGAAAGAAACCACTTAAAGCTCCCATCAATCACCGCTCCCGTCCTCTCATCCGGACAAGACGGAACGGAGGAATCGCAGACGGGGTTTGTCGTGTAATACGGCCGGATACGCCTCGGGGGACGGGCTAAGGCGCGGGACGGAGGGCGAACAACGGGGAAACAATGGACCTAATCGCGGAGAGGAAGCGTCTGGGGAGGTGGAGGGATGGACAGTCATTTATAAAAGTCTAGACGCTGTTACTGGCTCGTCTGACCTTATTTAAAGGGCACGAAAACAGTATAAAATGAAAATAGCAGGATTCTGAACTTCCCATTTTCTGGTTTTGACACACCAGCCAGTCCTTTCTATATTTTGTCTGAATCCAGAAAAGATTAGAATCAGAGCACAGAGCGTGAAATAGTCTGTCCAAACCTGACACAATCCAAGACAGGTTCATTTGGACTTCCGATAATTATGTTATTAGTAGGGCTGGACATGTTAATGCGTTCATTTTGCGTTAACTAATAAATTCATTATCGCCAACAATTATTTTTCTCCCCTTAATGAAGTTTTTTTGTTTTTGTTTTGTTTTTAAATTGGAAACTAAAAACTCACTGGCTTTTATTTTGAAGAGGTCAGCATTCATCTGTAAGAGCTAGAATCGCACCACCAACCTGTGGGCTGTTAGATCTGATTGCTTAACCAATTATGTTGTTTTTTTGTTTGTTTTTTTATGTCAAGAGTGGGATTCCAACCACCAGCCTTCGAATCAGTGGGCAAACGCTCTACAAACTGAGCTACTGCCACCACAGCCCCAAAGTGCAGGGTCTTAGATCCCGTTTACACTGAAAAGAATCCGCGTATCTCCGTATCACCGTATCACCGTATCGGAAACGATCTGCGTCAAGACACGTCGTTTCTGTGTCCGCAATCCTTCTCTATCCATACAATTTTGAGCATATTTGTTTACATTTTACAGAAACAAAACGTAAAACCGCATAGCTAATTTGCGTAAACTGAGCGCTCAAAAAAACAAAACAGCTTGTTATTGTGCTCTGATGCGGTTCAGTTTCTGTCGGATTAAAGGACACGACTCAGTGGAATATGAGTGTTGTTTCTGTGACAGAGGGATGTCCTGCTGATGGTGAGTCTGTTCTGTGTTTCTGTTGTGTTGGAGATGCTTCATGTGAAACTTTTCAGAGATTATACGTCTGCAGGTCGCACACACAGACACACGTTTATATGAATGGGCATATAATCTAACCTCTAAGCATTTTGGCGGTGAATTACTTTGCGGCGCATAAACCTACATCGGCGTATCAGTGAGTGTGTACACATGCACATCAATAACCCGGTTATGATCGGGTTTTTTGAGTATCCCGGTTTCTTCATGGTGCATGTATACGCAGTAACCCGGTTTCAGTAACCCGGTTATTAGAAACCGGGTTACTGTAGCTGGTTTATTCCGATAGTAACCGGGTTACTTGTGTCATGTAAACGCAGTATCCCGGTTACTGCAACATAAAGTTGAGTGCGCATGCGTCCAAAAGACACTTTCCAGCCTTTCACCACAACAGTAGTCACATAAATAAATTGACCAACATAAATAAAGTGACCACACGAGTGAAATGACTGTAAAATAAAGAGCTGCGCTAAACCTGCACACGTACAATCTGCACTCGTACAATCTGCACTCGTGTGACGCTGAAAAACTAAAACATGAACTATCTCCTATACAACACACACACACAGAACACACTTACCATCATTAACACCTCTTCTGTCACAGAAATAACACACATAATCCACAGAGTCGTGTCATTTAGTCCAAAAGAAACTGATCGCATCAGCGGCGCAAGGAGCGAGTTGTTTTTATCGCCGCTAACAGTTTATGCTAATTAGCCAAACGGTCTTAAGTTTCGTTTCTGTAAAACATAAACAAATGTGATCAGAGCTGAATTATCTGATCAAACAGGCTGATGTGTCTATAGTGTTTATGGTTTATATGTTGTAAAGTTGAGTTTATTTATGCAGAAGATTTTAATGAAGAATCTGCACAGTGGATTGTGGGAGATCTCGTAGCTCCTTAGCTTCTTATGCTAAAGGAGCTCACGGTTTGTATTTTTCCTGGTTTATGAAATTGATTTAAGTTAATTTTTGCGCCTGCGCATTTGTAAGATTATGTCAAGAAACCGGGATACTCCATTTGATCATGTATACACGGATATGAGTGTCCCGGTTTCTCAGTGCGCATGTAAACGCAGTAACACGAATACTGACATAACCGGGATATGGCTAATAACCGGGATACTGATGTGCATGTATACGCACTCACTGTTCTCAGGTGTCCACACGGTGCCGGATCAGATCTGTACTTAGATGAATTCGTGGGAGCTGGAGGCACCAGATCGTTCCGTTTCTGGAGCCTTTTTAATCAGATTAGCGTGAACGAACACTGCATCCACAACGAAAACGACTCAAATACGCACTAGTGTGGACGGGGCCTCATCTAGAAGGACTTTGGTATTATTGGTAGTATTTCTGTGTTTGTGAGGAGTGACTGTAAAAACTTTAAAATGTGTTGTTGATTATAAAGTAGAACTTACTCATTAAACACAACATTTCAACTACATGAGTAAAATAAGAACAGTTTGTCCACTGCTATTAAATAAGTTGTAGTTGTCACAGAATTATGTTATTTCAGTGTAAAAATTACCAGTTGATTTAATATATTGTACTATCCCCAGAAGTTATTTTTTGGATGATATTGTGAGACTTTTCCACAATATTTTTCTTCTAGTTACATCCCTTTAGCTCTCACCCTCTCCGTTCCTGTGTGGTCTGAACTAATCTGTATTTTACCCTGAACCTTGACTCCACCTGCCCGCGCTTCACCCTCAGCTGTTTCTCCACAATAACACAAAAACACATTAGTTTCCTTCCGTTGCCGCGGGTGACAGATGGTGTTTCGGCGGTACTCACGCGGGGTTGTTGCACTGGCGGTTGCGGGCCCGGACGCCGCCCCCGCACGTCCGAGAGCACGAGCCGAACTTGGACCACGAGCCCCAGCTCCCGTCGTGCCCCTGCGGCTCCTGGCTGCTCCTCCAGATGCAGTGGCCTTTAAAGCACCACTGCGGAACATAAGAGACAGAGAGAGAGAGAATGAGAAAGGCGATGAGGCTGTAGGTAGAAACATGACTGCACAATTGGGTTGTCGGAAATGATTTGCGTCCAGTACGGAAGATAATTTGTTCCATCAGATTTAGAATTTTAAAAAACCACTGAATTTCTCACTTTGAATTTTTTAACTCTGAAAAAAGATGTTTGAATGACTTTTATTCTGAATCTTAGTTGCTGAAATTTGAAGTTTACTTGCGTGTACTATGCTTTAAATTCAAAATAAAAAAAAAATTCACCATAGATATTTTCAAGCCCTCAAGATTCAACAGTCGAAATTCAGAATGTGAAATTCGCAGTGAAAAATTCGACAGCAAAGATCCAAGATGCCAAGGCAGAAGCAATCGATCATGTGAGCGAGGAAGACAGAGGCTGTTTCCTATTGGCTGTTTTCATCTGTGGGCGGGGTTTACACTTAAGAAATCGAAGAGATGAGGTTTCGATGAAGCTAATTCTGACCTGATCAGATCATGTCGCTGCAACATTTCCTGTTTCTTACTAAGTTAGATCGGATCACTTTGGATCGATTGCTTCTGCCTTGGCATCTCGGATCTTCACTGTGAATTTTTTTCACTGTGAATTTTACACTCTGAATTTTGACTGTTGAATTTGAGGATTTGAAAATATTTGTGCTGAATATTTAAAAGGTGTTTTTTTAAGATGAATTTTATGCACTTTGAAAATGCACACTTAAAATTTCAGCAACTAAAATTCATAATAAACATAATTCAAACATGTTTTTTCAGAGTTAAAAAATTCAAAGTGAGAAATTCAAGAGCATTTAAAATTCAAAATCTGATGAAACAAATTATCTTCCATAGTCAAGGCACGTCATTTCTGTGTCCGCAAGCTTTCTCTACCCACACAGCTTTGAGCTTATTTGTTTACGTTTTACAGAAAGAAAACTTAAAACCACATGGCAAATTTGCATAAACTAAGTGCTCAAAAAAACAGCTCGCTCCTTGTGCCCTGATGCGGTTCAGTTTCTGTCGGACTAAAGGACACGACTCAGTGGAATATGAGTGTTCTTTCTGTGACAGAGGGGTGTTCTGCTGATGGTGAGTCTGTTCTGTGCATGTAGTTCTCGCTGTTTCCCGTTTGTCTCTGATTTGTTTAAACTGTTTTCCACAATAGCATCACATGACTGATGACACAAACCCGGAGAATCAGGAAGGCGCAAGTCACAGTGACGTGGTCCAATAAGGACGCAACTAGAGCTCCTACGTCAGAGTATCAGTGTTTTCAGGCGTCCACACGGTGCTGGATCAGATCTGTATTCAGATGAATTCGTGGAAGCTGGCGGTGTCAGATCGTTCTGTCTCTGAGCTGTTTTCAATCGGATTAGTGTGAACGAACACTGCATCTACCACGAAAATGACTCGAATACGTACTTAAAGTCACACTATGTAACTTTTTAGCCAGAAAATGGTCAGTTCTTTCTGGTCAGATTGTCTTAAAGGTGCACAGCATAACATTTCTAGTGGAGGGTCCGCCACCTGCTTGTCTCAATGGAAATGTTACTGCTTTGTCTACACTGAAAAAAAGAACTTGTAAGATTTACTAAAAAAAAAAAAAAAAACTTGTAAAAATTTGCACTCGCACTTTTTAAGTAAATTTTACTGCTGTAATACCAGGTACTTAGAATGTACTAACACCACAATTAACATCGTCGTCATTTCACTGAGTAATTGTTTTTTTTATTTTTTTTTTTACTTCCAGGGTTCTTGAAAAGCATCTAGTTTATTCCAATTCCTGACCTAGTCACTGGAGAAAAAAATGAAATTGAGCATAGGCACTAGGTGGCACCAGCCTGGCTAGTCTGAGGCTTCCATCAGACACAGAAACTGTAAACAAGTAGGGTGTTTCAGAGTAGTTTCAGTGTAGTTAGTTCACCCCTTCAGGCAGATATAAGAAAGTGTCCACCAGCATTTTGAGCAGAACTGAAGAAGCAGCTTGGATGAGCTGAGAAACGTTTTTGACTTAAACAAATGTTTGTCCAGTTGACAAATTGAATTTCTCCTTTGGCATGTTTTCATTTTACTTCCTGTTTGGAAACGACAGAGTCTTGCACAGGTCAATTTTTTGGAGACCCGCACCCTGTACTGCGTGTACAGCACCACATCCGCCCGTTAACCCGGGGTTATCAAAATTAAACCCACACCCACCCGGACCTGTTAAAAGCTTTCTAACTGAAGCATCCATCAGATTTACAATTACAAGAATTACAATCATGAAATGAAATGAAACGGTTACACTTTCTTCAGAACGAATCACAGACGCGACGCGACTGTCATCACTTCACTGGATTTATTTACTGAGCAGAAGAAACACTGATCGAGATGCTGCACACGCCATGGACTAAACCAAGACTAAACCAGAACTAACCCAGGACTAACCCAGGACTAAACCAGGACTAAACCAGGACTAACCCAGGACTAAACCAGGACTAACCCAGGAGTAAACCAGGACTAAACCAAGACTAAACCAGAACTAACCCAGGACTAAACCAGGACTAAACCAGGACTAACCCAGGACTAACCCAGGACTAAACCAGGACTAACCCAGGACTAAACCAGGACTAACAAACCAGGACTAAACCCAGGACTAAACCAGGACTAACCCAGGACTAACCCAGGACTAAACCAGGACTAACCCAGGACTAAACCAGGACTAACCTACGACTAAACCAGGACTAACCTATGACTAAACCAGGACTAACCTACGACTAAACCAGGACTAACCTACGACTAAACCAGGACTAACCCAGAACTAACCTACGACTAAACCAGGACTAACCTACGACTAACCCAGGACTAACCTACGACTAAACCAGGACTAACCTACGACTAAACCAGGACTAACCTACGACTAAACCAGGACTAACCCAGGACTAACCTACGACTAAACCAGGACTAACCTACGACAAACCCAGGACTAACCTACGACTAAACCAGGACTAACCCAGGACTAACCTACGACTAAACCAGGACTAACCCAGAACTAACCTACGACTAAACCAGGACTAACCTATGACTAACCCAGGACTAACCTACGACTAAACCAGGACTAACCCAGGACTAACCTACGACTAAACCAGGACTAACCCAGGACTAACCTATGACTAAACCAGGACTAACCTACGACTAAACCAGGAGTAAACCAGGACTAACCCAGGACTAACCTACGACTAAACCAGGACTAACCTACGACTAACCTATGACTAACCTATGACTAACCCAAGACTAACCCAGGACTAAACCAGGACTAACCTACGACTAAACCAGGACTAACCCAGGACTAACCTACGACTAAACCAGCACTAACCTAGGACTGATTCCAGGACTGAACAGGGAGGACTAAACCAACTCTGAACTAGGAATTAAACAGGACTAAACCAGGACTAAACCAGAACTGAACCAGGACTCACTGTCGAGACTGGCCCGAAGGTGCACCCGCGTAGACCGTCGGGTGACCGCAGGCGAAAGGACCGGCGTAGAGCTCCACGCCCCACGGAGGTAAATGCAGCCTTCGCCCGATCGCGCTTCACGGACTCGGGGTTCTCTCTTTTTTTAAAGTCCAAGATTAGTCCTGGTTTAGTCCTGATTTAGTCCTGAACTACCCGTAAAATTCCAGAACGTTAAAACTCGCCCGTTTCAGCGACTATTTGCCCGTACGACTCTGGGACATGTGCAGCTGATTTTGATGACTTATTTAAGGCAATTCTATAACTTTTACCTAGCAAATATAATGTAAACAAAGACCAAAACCTGTTTAATTTACAAAACAATTATGATTTGACAAATAAAAATATATTACAATACAATATTTTGGTATTCTAATTAGTGCTGTCATGCGATTAAAAAAATTGAGAGATTAATTAATTATGATCTGTAATTAATTAATCTAATTAATCTCATTTTAATCTCACCTAAAAATTGCTGAGAAAAGCTTCAATTTGAGGTATTTTCATTTAAATTCATTATTACATTATTGTGGCAGATCAAAACACTGATATAGAACAAAAAAAGTGACTTTATAAAGTCATTTATTGTTTAACAAATCTTTCCAAATTGGCTGTTGAGCCCAAGTCTCCATGAATAAGAAACTGTTTGCTGTAAAGTAGCAAAGACGAGGAAATCTGAACATAATAACTTTTGTCTACTTAAAGACAATAAAAAGTCCAGTCTTTCCTGAACCATATAAAAAATATTATTGATAGAGAAATGCTTTATATATGAGATCACTGGTTTTAGTCCTGGTTTAGTCCTGGTTTAGACCTGGTTTAGACCTGCTTTAGTCCTACTTTAGTCCTAGTTTAGTCCTGGAATGGATTAGTCCTGGTATTAGTTCTGGTTTTAGTTCTGGTTTTAGTCCTGGTTTAGTCCTGGACTGGGTTAGTCCTGGTTTTAGTCTTGGTGTTAGTTCTGGTTTTAGTTCTGGTTTTAGTCCTGGTTTAGTCCTGGACTGGTTTAGTCCTGGTTTTAGTCCTGGTATTAGTTCTGGTTTTAGTTCTGGTTTTAGTCCTGGTTTAGTCCTGGACTGGTTTAGTCCTGGTTTTAGTCTTGGTGTTAGTTCTGGTTTAGAGGTTCACAGGAGGAAGCTCGGTTTACGCCGCGTACGCGAGAAAACACGATCCACACGCGGCTCACGGGAGCAGGTCTGTGTCCACGCAGTAACTACGGAAGGAAACGTGGTCCGCGCGTTCTCAGGTTAATGACGATGATGAAGGTGTGTGTGTGTGTGTGTGTGTGTGTGTGTGTGTGTGTGTGTGCGTGTCCCCTCATGTGGCAGGTCACTATAGGACAGTAGTGCAGACATCATGAGCCTATGCAGGTTGTTTTCAGGCGATATTATATTTGTTATTTTCTTTTATATTTCACGTCGGGAGAATAATTTCCAAGACACGAATGTGTTTTTACCTGTGCACTGCTGCTCTGTTCTACTGGCTCTTCCACCTCGTCCATTGTGCGACTGATGCCGCCAGCGTTAACATGACGTTTACATCGCTGTTACTGCGCGCGTTTTGTGTGGGTTTCCGGCAATGAGTGGAATTACCGAAATAAAAAAATTTATAAATGTGTTTTGTGTGTGTGTGTTGTTGTTGTTGTCCCAACAACACATAAAAACAGGTTTTATAATAAAGCAACTCACATACAGAAACACTAAATTTAGAGATTAAAAATGAGATTAACGCGATTAAAAAACATAACGCGCTAAATATGACTGTAATTAATTAATCGCAATTAACACGATAATTTGACACCCCTAATTCTAATATTTAAACTGTCCGAGAAATGTGTTCCATGTTCTGAATTTCGTGCGTTGTTTCCTCTGTAGAACTCGCAGCTACAGCGTTTCTTGTAATTTATCTCAACTTTTCTTTTTCTCAAACTGGCGCTTCACGGACGTAAAACTGCGGCGCGCGTGTGATCGATTTTAAAGAGCGACTTTTCGGTTTCTGGACAAAGTGAAAAGTTTGAGGATTCAAAGGAAACGGAGACAGAGACGGAGCGGAAAAGGTCAGGAGCCTCGGTGCACGACTAATAGACTGTCACTGTGATGGAGCGCGCTGTAATTATCTCACAAAGGAGGGGAAAAGAAAGAGAGAGAGAGAGAAGGGGAAAGGGAAGGGAGGAAGGGGCAGAAAGAGAGAGAGAGAGCGAGAAAAGAAAGAAAAGGAAGGAAAGAAGGCACAGACAGAGGCAAGAAAGAGAGAAAGCAACACAGAGAAAGTAAAAGAAAGTAAGGTAAGGTAAGGTAGGATGTCATAAAGGAGGAAGAAAGAAAGAAAGAAAGAGAGAGAAAGAGGGTAGAGAGGGTAGAGAGGGAAGGGAGGAAGAAAGAGAGAAAGAGAAAAGGAAGGAAGGAAAGAGGGCATAGAGAGAGAGGAAAAGACAACGAGGGAGAAAGTGAAAGAAAGTGGCAGGTCAAGGAGGTGTCAGGGGAAAGAGGGAGAGAGAACGAGAAAATGAGGGGAGAGAAAGAAAAAGGAAGAAAGAAAGAGAGAGAGAGAGAGAGGAAGAAAAGAGAGAGACAGAAAGGGGAAGCCAGTGTAAGAAACAGAAAAAGAGAGAGAGAGGAAGAAAGAGAATGAGACAGGGAGAAAGAAAGACAGAGAGAGAGAGAGAGAAAGAGAGAGAGGAAAAAAGAGGAAGATACAGAGAGAGGAAGAAAGAGAATGAGAGAAAGAGGGAGGAAGAGAGAGAGAGAGAGGAAGAAAGAAAGAGAGAGTGAGAGAGAAAGAAAGAGAGAGGAAGAAAGAGAAGGAGAGAAAGAGGGAGGAAGAGAGTGAGAGAGGAAGAAAGAAAGAAGAAAGAGAGAAAGAGGAAGAAATAGAGAGAGATGAAGAGAGAGAGAGAGACAGAGGGGAAGACAGAGAGGAAGTAAGAAAAAAGAGAAAGAAAGAAAAGAGAGGGAGATGAAGAGAGAGAGGAAGAAAGAGAAAGAAAGAAAGAAAGAGGGAGAAAGAGAGAGGATGAAAGAGAGAAAGAGAAAGCGGGAGGAGGAGAGAAGAGAGGAAGAAAGAGTAAGAGGGAGAGAAATATACAGTCCCTGACAAAAGTCTTGTCTCTTATCCATTTTGTAGAAACAAAAGCTTATAACCTGACTTTAAATTAAATCGATTGGTTTTAGAAATGTCTCATATGAAGCTAAAACCCTCCCAAATTATGCTCAATAAACTAAAATAAATTTGCTTCACTGAAGAAAGATTGATCATTTAATGAACACAGAAAGGTCAGATTTTGGCAAGACAAAAGTTTTGTCGCCTACAGAAAATTGAACAAATAATTTACTTCAAATACAAAAATATGTTGCATAACGTCAGTGAATGAAGTAGTGGTGCTGTGAGATCCATATTTAATATCTTGTATGACTCCATGAGCTTGAAGGACGCATCCATGCGGTTCCACAATGATTCATACAATTTGTTGATGAAGTCATCAGGAATAGCAAAGAAAGCGTCTTACAGCCTCCCAGAGTTCATCAAGATTCTTTGGTTTTGCCTCCATGTTTCCTCTTTCATTCTACCCCAGACCTGCTCAATGATGTTCATGTCTGGTGACTGGGCTCCAGTCCTGGAGCATCTTGATCTTCTTCACTTTGAGAAACTTTGATGTAGAGACAGAAGTATGTGATGGAGCACCATCCTGCTGCAAAATTTGACCCCTTTTATGGTTGGGAATGTAAGAGGAGCTAATACTTCTTGATATTTTAGGTTATTGATATTTGTCTTCCACCCTGCAAATGTCTCACACACCCCCAGACTGGATGGAACCACAGACCATGATTTTTCCGCCACCAAACTTAACTGTTTTCTGGGTGAATCTTGGATCCATGCGGCTCCAGTTGGTCTCCTGCAATATTTGCGGCAGCTGTGATGTAATTCAACCGAGGATTCATCTGAGAAATCCACCTTCTGCCACTTTTCCAGTGTCCATCCTTTTATCAGGCTGTGGGCCTTGGCAAATGCCACACGGTTTTTTATTTGCCTTTTGTTTAGTGCTGGTTTCTGTGCACTGATTCGACCATGGAGGTCATTTCCAGACAGAATTCTACAAACTGTTGTGGTTGACACAGGGACTTGAGGTGACCAGGCCTGGTGGAGTCTGCTGCAGTGGAAAAGGGGCCTTGGATTTTTGAATCAACAAACGGTCCTCCTGAGCAGTTGTCTTGCGGCGTCTGCTGGACCTGGGCTTGTCAAAAACACCTCCAGTCATTTCAGATCTTTTTCTTATTCTTTGTACTTGACGCTGAGACACGTTGAAGGTGTCACCACCTCAGCAGTGGATCTGGTCTTCAGCCTCTTGATAATTAACACTTTGGTCTCAGGGTGGATCTTGGGCTTGTTGTCAGAGGTCAAGTTGCAGTTGATGTGAAGGTCTGGTTCTGCTGAGGTTCTTTTTATACACAAACACTAATTGATTGATCAGTAACTGATCACAGGTGAGGCTGTAATCTAGGATTGGTGCATCATATGACAAGGCCACAAAACTTTTGTCTTGCCAAAATCTGACCTTTCTGTGTTCATTAAATGATCAATCTTTCTTCAGTGAAGCAAATTTATTTTAGTTTATTGAGCATAATTTGGGAGGGTTTTAGCTTCATATGAGACATTTCTAAAACCAATCCTTTAATTTAAAGTCAGGTTATAAGCTTTTGTTTCTACAAAATGGATAAGCGACAAGACTTTTGTCAGGGACTGTAGAGGAAGAGGAACGAAAGAAAGAGAACGTGAGAGAAGAAGAGAGAGAAAGAAAGAGAGAGAAGGGATGACAGAGAGAGAGGAATAGAGAAACAGAGAGAGAGAGAGAACAAGGAGAGAGAAGAAGAAATAGAGAGAGATGAAGAGAGAGAGAAAGAGGAAGACAGAGAGAGGAGAATAAAGAGAAAGAGGCAAAGAGAGAGAGAGGTAGGAAAAGAAGTAGACAAGGAGAAAGAAAAAGCGACGTGTGTGTACCTTCCCCGGCGCACACTCGGTCCCGTCCACTGGAGGTCCCTTCTTGGTTTTACAGAAGTACTGGTTGTCCGGGTGACTGCACCACAACTGTTTACACGGATCATACGTCCTGAACTACAACAACAAAAACACAAAAAACACACAAACACAGATTAAACTCACAATCAAACAAACACAAACAAAACACTTTCATAAGGCAAGATGGGTGAAGTGTCTTGCTCAAGGACACAACAACATCAAGTTTACAAACCATAATATTTCTTTTTAGCTCTCGCAAACACTTCACATGCACTAAAATTCATGTTTTACAATTGTTTATCAGTCTGCTGCTCTTCACAAATGAATTCAAATATAACCTGAGAGACAGTGTTGTGGAGTAACAGATTACAAGTACCGGAGTTAAGTAATCAGAGTACAAATTATGAGTAACTGTATTCAGTTACAGTTACTGTTTCAGTGAGTGGTAATTGGATTACAGTTACTTTGTTGGAATAAATGGATTACATGGCGGGATTTTCCTGTTTTCACATTTTGGGCTAAACCAGGACTAAAGCAGGACTAAAACCAGGATTAAAACAAGGTCTAAACTAGATCTACACCTGGTCTAAACCAGGTCTAAACCAGGTCTAAACCAGGACTAAACCAGGTCTAAACCAGGACTAAAACAGGACTAAAACAGGACTAAACCAGGACTAAAACAGGACTAAAACAGGACTAAACCAGGATTAAAACAGGACTAAAACAGGTCTAAACCAGGACTAAAACAGGACTAAACCAGGACTAAAACAGGACTAAACCAGGACTAAAACCAGGATTAAAACAAGGTCTAAACTAGATCTAAACCTGGTCTAAACTAGGTCTAAAACAGGATTAAAACAGGACTAAAACAGGTCTAAACCAGGACTAAAACAGGACTAAACCAGGACTAAAACCAGGATTAAAACAAGGTCTAAACTAGATCTAAACCTGGTCTAAACTAGGTCTAAAACAGGTCTAAACCAGGACTAAACCAACACTAAAACCAGGTTTAAACTAGATCTAAAACAGGACTAAACCAGGTCTAAACCAAGACTAAACCAGGACTAAACCAGGTCTAAAACAGGATTTAACAGGACTAATTCATGCTGTGTGGACGCGTCTCGTCTTCTTCTATCAATAATATTTTTAAATTGGTTAAGTAAAGTCTGGGCTTTTTTATTTTCTTTTAGCAGATAAAACTTCTTATGTGAAGATTTCCACGTCTTTGCTTCTCTACAACAAATCAAGTAATCCAAAATATTCAGATTACATTACTCACTTTGAGTAATTTAATGGATTATGTTACAAACTACATTTTTATGTATGTATGGTATGTAATCTGTAATCTGTAGGGGAATACATTTTAAAAGTAAACTTCCCAACACTGGGCGTCAGGGCCTACAAGTCCTTCTCTGATGGCGTAAAAAAATCTCTGAATCACAAACTGATATTAATATATTATTATTTAAATAAATCCAAATGGTCTGATGCTTGTGCTGCTTCCACACATGGATTTTCATATTAAAGCATTTGACCAATCACATTTCAGCCGTCACTTGTTGCCGGGCAGAGTCAAAGAAGTGTCCCTGAGGCCTTCACAATCCGTCCTGCAGGAACTCGAACACAAAATAAATGTCCATGAAACTGTTGCTTCAACCAATCAGATTTCGAGTCGGTGTCACCAGGACCTTTAGCAGCGAACGACGACGTCACCGGATTCAGACCCGTGACTGGACAGTCAGAGAACGAACCAGCCAAAACAGCAAACTGCATCTGTAGCAGAACCAGGACCTAAACCAGGTCTAAATCAAGTCTAAACCAGGACTACACCAGGACTTATCTTGGACTTGAGAGAGAGAGAGAGAGTGAGAGAGAGAACCACCAAAACAACGGAGGAGAGATCGGGCGACAGCTGCACTGAGTCCTGGCACGGTCCTGGGCCTGTCCTGACAAACAGTTTGGTTTAGTTCTGGTTTAGTCCTGGTTTAGCACCACCTCTCTCCTCACTGCTCCGTGCACGGACTCTCCACGGCTCTTTACACTGTGTTTCTGTGTAATAAGATGCTTTAATAACCATAAAATAGTTCTTGAGGAGTGGATTGTTTCAGACGGAGCTGAAGGCCTCGGGGTGAAATGCTCCACCGCTGCTGAGAGGTCAAATTAATTTTAAAAAACAATTCTCTCAAACTGCTCTCGAAAGTGTGCGTGTTTCTTGCAACAACAAAAAAATCAGATTTCACAAAAAAATGTGAGTTGAGCATCAAGTCCTGCAGTCTGAACGTAGCCTTATTCTTTCAACACAAGCTGTTATTTCTATACGTTTTGTGAGTTTGTGTGATGGGGTCAAAGATCAAGTCCATTTCAAACCAAACAAAACCTCACGTGTGCTTTTCAATTACTCCTATGAGAGAAACCAATTAAAGGTTGTATAGAGGATTTTTTAAGGAAAGAGAAATACAGCGACAGTCCTTTTTTACTCTAGAAATCACGCTTGTTTACATTAAGTTCGTGTTCAGAATTACTGTTATAAAATAATTTAACGACCGACGCGTCAGTTTTTAGCCCCTTCGTCTGCTTCAGTCGCGCCGTCGCTGGAAGGAATCTCCAAGAATCACCTCAGTTTGTCTTCGCTCCTTTCCCCCTTCTTCTCTTCTTCTTTCAGCGATCTCAAAAACGGACTTTCTTTTGCGGCGAACCGGTCGTGGATTCTCGTCCGCCGTCGCGACAGACTTTGTGCGAATTGTGAGGAAGCGACAGTTTGAAAAAGCCTCTAAGAAGCGCCGCATAAACCACGAAATCCCCGCGCGCCGGCGAGTCAGTTACACTAGAAACGTAGGGAGTTTGATTGACGACCTAACAGCCAATAGGAAATGAGGGAGCCTCGTTTTCTATTGGCTGATGTTTATCTCGTCTCGCTGAGTCCACAGTTGATAGATTTTCATAGTTTTTTTTTTGGTCATCATAATTACAAAGCTGCTTCGTCTCTGTAATGGTATTTTAAACTTTCATTGACAATTTCAAACTAAGAAAAAAATCCTCCATACAACCTTTAAACTAGAGACACTCAACAACCTTTCATTTTGTGTTTTGACCTGATTGTCAGAGTTCACTGGAGCTTTAGACCCGTGTGTGTGTGTGTGTGTGTGTGTGTGTGTGTGTGTGTGTGTGTGTGTGTGTGTCCTGGACAGACTGACCCTCATTCACTGTCACATTCATTTCTAAGGGCAATTTTCCCTTGGATTGGATGTACTGACCTTTTCTTTGACCAGCCCACGCCAGCCCACGACGAGAAGAGGAAGATAATAGAGAAGAACCTGGTATAATTCTTTACTTTAATTGCTTCTTTTGAGCGAAAGGCTGTTGCTTCTTTAGTCCGAATGTCGTACACTTGTATATTGTGCATGTAAGTACAGGTTAAATAGGTGACGAAAATTCGTTGGCAAATGTAAATAGGTCATATAATTACTGAAATATAAAAACTTCATATAAATATCATTAAAAAAAACTAATTTCTTCATTATTTGTCTCCAAAAGCAAAATGAAAAAAATGGTTAACAGTCGTTTCCCATTTTCGTGGCTTAAACTGAGATGCGGGACTATTGTGCCGCATACAGACTGAACCAGGACTGAAACAGGACTAAACTGTTTTCAGTCCTGGTCTGGTCCCAGTCTCAGTCCCAGTCTGGTCCTGGTCTGGTCCCGCCCTCAGTCCCGGCCTCAGTCCAAAGTCCTGGTCCTATTTCCGATCTGAGATCCAGTCTCAGTCCCGGTCTCACTCCCGGTCTGGTCCCGGTCTGGTCCCCCGGTCTCAGTCCCGGTCTCAGACACGGTCTGGTCCCGGTCTGGTCCCCCGGTCTCAGTCCCGGTCTCAGCCACGGTCTGGTCCCGGTCTGGTCCCGATCTGGTCCCCCAGTCTCACTCCCGGTCTGGTTCCCCGGTCTCAGTCCCAGTCTCAGTCCTGGTCTGGTCAGTCTGGTCCTGGTCCAGTCTCAGTCCCAGTCTGGTCCTGGTCTGGTCCTGCCCTCAGTCCTGGTTTCAGTCCCAGTCTCAGTCCTGGTCCTACTCCTTGTTTCAGTCCCAGTCTGGGTTCTGATCTGGTCCCGAACCTGAATCTGTTCTGGTTTAGTGCTAGTATAGTCCAGGTTTAGTCCTGGTTTAGACCTGGTTCAGTTTAGACCTAGTTTAGACCTGGTTTTGTCCTGGTTTAGTCCTGGTTTAGTCCTGGTTTAGTCCTAGTTTAGGTTTAGACCTCTGTTTAGACCTGGTTTAGTCCTGGTTTAGTCCTGGTTTAGTCCTGGTTTAGTCCTGGTTTAGTCCTGTTTAGTCCTGGTTTAGTCCTGGTTTAGTCTTGGCTTAGTCCTGTTTAGACCTGGTTTAGTCCAGGTTTAGTCCAGGTTTAGTCCAGGTTTAGACCTGGTTTAGACCTGGTTTAGACCTTAAACCATTTTTTCCATTTTTCATTTAAACACACAATCGAAAATTTAAAACACAAATCATTTTTTCATTTTGGTTTTGGAGACAAATAATGAAGAAAATCGTTGTTTTTTCATTTTCTTATTTTTGATTTTATATTAAAAAACGAATAAACGAGCGACACGCGGATTGTTGAGCCTTTCAAATGTTTCCCTGCCGTATCTGTCAAAAAAAAATACACACATAATAAATAAAAATCTGCGTTCGAGGGTGATTTTAGTCGATGTAAACGTGACAGACGGAGCGGAGCTGACAAGGTGATGTAACACTTTTGATTTACAGATCCTCGTTTCCGTCCACGTCTGCATAAACACAGGCCTGTTCTGTCTCCATCTGAGCCTCTGCATCTGACGCCTTGATCACACGGACGAGTGACACGCTAAAGACGACCGTTTTCTGCAGCCAAATCGATGGTCGGAGGTTTTTCTGATGGTAAACCACAGCCCCAGTGTCAAACGTCATTCCCCAGAGCCGGAGAATGTGATTAAAGTAGATATAAGGCTGCGAAATGTACTCAAATCAAATCACAAAGACTGTCATTTTAGGTAATAGAAAGAGCCCAGGAAACATGTCTATTTATTTTATTTTTGATCAGACTTTGGTTTTCAGACGTCCACAAACATGTTCTGAAATGCATAGGATTTCTAGATTAATTTAAAGAGCGTTTGAGGACAGAAAACAGACAAAATATGCAGAGTTTGTGTCATTTTTCTTCATTTTTTTTCTCATATTAGTGGGAAAAGTTCTGCTCCAGACTTTCTAAAACAAACTCTGCCCTGGACGTTCGATAAACAGATTTTTATTCAGTCCTGATGTAGACTCGGTTTGGTCGTGTTCTAGACCAGACCTAAACCAGAATTAAACCAGAATTAAACCAGGACTGAACCAGATCCAAACCAGGTCTAAACCAGGTCTAAACCAGGTCTAATGGCAGGTCTAAAACAGGACAAAACCTAAGTCTAAACAAGGAATAAACCAATTATAAACCAGGAATAAAACAGGTCTAAATCAGATCTAAACCAGGTCTAAAGCCAGGTCTAAAACAGGACTAAATCACGTCTAAACAAGGAATAAACCAATTATAAACCAGGACTAAAACAGGTCTAAATCAGGTCTAAACCAGATTTAAACCAGGTCTAAACCAGGACTAAACCTGGTCTAAACCAGATCCAAACCAGGTCTAAATCAGGACTAAACCCAATCTAAACAAGAACTAAAACCAGGACTAAACTACAACTGAACCCGGTCTAAACCAGAACTAAAACCAGGTCAAAATCAGGACTAAACCATTTCTAAAACAGGTCTAAACCAGGTGTAAACCAGATCCAAACCAGGTGTAAATCAGGACTAAACTAGGACTCAACACGGACTAAACCAGAACTAAAACCAGGTCTAAACCAGGACTAAAACAGGACAAAAACAGGTCGAAACCAAATCCAAACCAGGCCTAAACCAGGTCTAAACCAGGACTAAACCCAATCTAAACAAGAACTAAAACTAGGACTAAACTACAACTAAACAAGGTTTAAACCAGGTCTAAATCCAGGCCTATAACACAACAAAAACAGGATTAAAACAGGTCTAAACCAGGTCTAAACCAGGTCTCAGTAGGGACTAAGTCAAGTCTAAACCAGTACTAAGACCAGAAATAAACCAGAGCTAAACTAGGTCTAAACCAGGACAAAAAACAAATCTAAACTAAGAATAAACCAGCTCTAAACCAGGACTAAACCACCATGTCTCAGCAGGGACTAAGTCAAGTCTAAACCAGGAATAAAACATGAACTAAACCAGGGTTAAATTGGGACTAAACCAGGACTAAAATCAGAACTAATCCAAGACTAAACTAGGAGTAAACCTGATCTTAACAAGAATTAGAACAGGTCTGAACCAGGTCTCAGCAGGGACTAAGTCAGGCCTAAACCAGGACTAAAACCAGAACTAAACCAGATCTAAACCAGGTCTTATTAACGTGCTCTTTATTGTCAAATCCCAAAAAACTCATAACACCAAATCTCCTCCTCCTTCTTCCCGTCCGTCGTATTGATGTAACATTTTCTCAGACGACTTTTCTCGCTCTGGGAAATAACGCGGACCAAAAAAAATCATTGTCGCTTTTGTCCAATCTGTACATTTTGTGTTTTTGAATGTAAAGAAAGCCTCCCGCCATCTCTCTTTATCTGCCCTATTGATGCTCTTCAATGACGTCACGCTGGGGCCGCTCTACATGCATCTCTACGGGTGGAATATTGAGGAGTTACCGTGGAGACACAATGCACACATAAAGGAAAAAATACAAAATGGATTTAAACAGCAAATTTTCAGCAGCCTGTGTTTAAAATAAGTGTTCATGATCGTGTTGAGGAGTTTGATTTTCGACTGTAAATTTTTGTAGTTTCAAAACCAAGTCAGATCTTTATGGCTTAAATCGTCTTAAAATAAAGATCAGACTGAGTAAAAAAGCTTCAGACAGAGCAGTGCTTCTAGTTAGCTTCAAACTCCCAGGAAATCTTAAAACCATCAGCTGCAAAATCTCAATAATTCTATAAATAAACTATCAATCAACGTGGTTATTTGCTGCATGTGTTTGGAAAAAGGATCGAAACTTTGAACGAACGAAATCCAGGCGATTCAAAAACGTAAAAGTCGCACGAGGAAAAGTATCGTTAAAAGGTCTTTATTTAAACGGACAAAGCCAACGTGTTTCAATCATGACTGGTCTTCATCAGGGCCACGATATCGTCACGGAATGGACCTCACGGTACGATATTTATTGCGATATTGCGGGAAAACTCATGATATGGAGGGGAGGCTCACGATTAGGGATGTAACAATATCCAAATCTGTACGATATTTTCACGATATACATGTCACGGTACGATGTTTGTTGCGATATTTTGTGGAGGCGAACAAAACTGTTCATATTCTACTTTTTCCTCTTAAAACGCCTTCACAAGACTTAATCCAAAGAACTAAGACTTAAAAGTGTTTTGAACTGTTATTTCTTCTTGTAGTTTGCGCTGAAATGGAGCAAAGGATCATGGTCTATGTCAGGGGTGTTCACACTTTTTCATCATGTGAGTTACTTACAAAATGACCAAGTCAAAATGATCTACCTAATACAAAGCCAAACAAACCGCAAACATCAACTTTATTCACACTAATTATTGTTCTTTTATTTTATTTTTTGCTACATTTTTTGATAAAATGGAAAAAAACAGATGCAGTGTGTATTTAACGTTCTAAAAACTTAAGATTTAACCTTCACCTTTCTAAAAAATACATTTCCCATAACAAAATAACAACAAAAATAACAAAACATAGGCAGCTTTTTCTTATCTGTTGTGTAATTATTTAACAAAACATTATTTATCATCCACAAATGCACATCCTTATCTTTATTTGTGAGAGATTAGCTCCGTAAACTCGTTTTATAATCTTATGTCATTGACTCTATCCAATTGACAAAAAAATAAATGTTTAGGATTGAAAAATTGCATCACTTTCTGAAGATAGCGTGAAAAAATAATTACACTTTTGTTTGTTTATACCAGTGGTGCTCACACTTTTCAGCATGTGAGTTACTTACAAAATGACCAAGCCAATCAAACTGCACTGAAACACTCTGTGCCCCTTTTTTGGACCCTCCCCCACAGTTTGAGAACCTCTTCTTTAAGAGAACTTCCTCTGGCACTTTACACAAAACTGTGAAAAAAGTGAAGGAAGATTTTTAAACCTGTTTTTTAAAGTTCCAAACTGGAGTTTCATTCTTTTCTGGTTTTGCAGTGATATTTACCAGCCTCTGCACGTTTACCAAACCAAACGCACATCGTGACAAACACAGATGCATTTGTCACTTTTGTTAGACAAACTTCAGCCAAATGTGGCAGTAGGTCTGTTCTGTAGATCCGCTCTATGCTGTAGACCTGCTTTGTGCCAACACTGTAACACAAATTTAGACTGGTTTTTGCTTCACGTTTGGTCTTGCTCTTCTAATCAGCCGCACTGTGGGAGGGGCTTGTGTTGGCTGTACGCAGGAAGGAGCGAGAGCGTGAAAAGGCGAGGGGCGGCGTGCTGACGTGAGGCAGATGGACAGGTAGGATGTTTAGGAAGTTGAACCTGCCCTGTGATGCACGCTGGTACACGAGGGCACACGCTGTCGCAGACGAGCCGTGCATAGGGAGCGTGTGTGTTTGTGATGCGCCGTAGAGTCTCCGCGGGTTTCAAATGAGCGCACAGGCTGCACTGAGACGCCCCACACGCTCCTGCACCCGCTACAAGTTTATTACCAACAGCAGCGGCCGTAATGAAATATGATCACACTTGTTGAGTGTCAGACCCTGAGTGAGAGACAAGACCGAGTCCAAACGCGAGTCTGAGACGAGCACTAAGACACGGCGATCTACCCACACGACCTTGGCGATCGACTGGTAGATCGTGATCGACGTATTGAGCACCACTGGTCTATGTAGTTCTCTCTGTTTTTTTAGCTATTGCTGCACCATAACTCTTCATTTAAGCAAAGACACTTGTAATTCGATATATTGCGATGGTCCATGATATTATTGTGAGAACTTTGACGATACAATATCAATATATTCCGGTTATTGTTACATCCCTACTGATTAGCTGCGTAAACGGGTCTAAAATAGAAATGTGTACCTATCCTATTTTGGCATTTTAGTGCATATTTGTTAAAATCTGACTTTTGGGTCATAGTCGTGTCTGTAACGGCCTCTTCAGGATCGACTATGGCCAGAACATTTGAATTTTCAGGTTATACTAACAGCCGCTAGTGAGTCAGAAGCAGGTTATTACGTGACGAGCGCAGCCGCTGGCGTCTACGGGCGGGACGTGAGGAGCCCCTCTCAGTCCCGCCCCGACCTGGCACCGCTGGGCACCGCTGGGCACCGCGATGTCCCGACGTGTCTGGAGAAAAGGGAAATTCCGTGATCCGAGCACAAACGTCCATTCTGTTTCAAAGTCCGGAGCGCACCGATCCGCGCCGTGCCGGATTGTCGTGGCTGTCAGTCGGCTGTCAATCATCGCTCCAGAGTTGTGGCACGAGATCCTAAGATTAACGTTTTCTATTCACTGACCTACACCTCCCTCGGATGATTGCTGTTGTGTTGTTGTGCCTTGTTGTTGTTGTGTTGTGTCCTTGGCCAAGACTCAACCCGTCCACACTGATGTATGGATGTGTAGGTGAATGGGCGCGTGGTCGTAAAGAGTTTTGAGCCTTGGAGTTGGAAACGTGCTGTACAAAAACGTGACCAATTACATTTACCATCGACCTTGCATTTATTCAAATACAGGTGCTTTTATTGTGAGGAAAAATCCATATATTCTTACTTTGAATGAGGTCGCCTCTCCACAGATCTGACCTGTATGTATAAGCATCTTCAGGGAGACAGTGCACCTCTGCTCTCCACTCCAGTGTGTTTAGACTCTGTGTGTGTGTCTGTGTGTGTGTTTTGTGTGTGTGTTTTGTAAACTCACAGCGGTGCACATTTTGTATCCGACCCCGAAGTCGAAGCGGCACTGCTCGTCCATCGAGTAGTTGATCCCGGGAAGCTCCGGCTGCTTGGGCCATTTGTGTTCAAACGGGTCGTCCAACAGGCAGTCATAGGAACTACAGAGAGATAAAGGTTAAATATAATAAAATAAAAGCTCCCCCAACAGGCAGTCACAGGAACTACAGGGGAAAAAAGTTGAAATATAATATAATAAAAGCTCCCTCAACAAGCAGTTATAGGAACTACAGGGAGATAAACATTAAAGACAATATAATAAGGGCTCCCCCAACAGGCAGTCATAAGAACTACAGAGAGATAAAGGTTAAATATAATAAAATAAAAGTTCCCCCAAGAGGCAGTCACAGGAACTACAGGGAGAAAAACATTGATTGATTGATTCGTTTTTATTTCGAGTTTGTGCCAAGAGAGAAACAATAATCATATATACTACACACACATTGTAAACAACAGAAAAGCACATTTCTCGAAAAGGAGTGGGAAGAAGAAAAACTTATATGAACCCACCCCTATTCATGACATAGTTCAGTCATGAATAGGTCAATAGGTCTGATCAATCAATCAGAACAACATTAAATATAACAAAAAGCTCCCCCAACAGGCAGTCATAGGAACTACAGAGAGATAAAGGTTAAATATGAAATACCAGTAAAGATACAGGTTTTATATAGAATATGTCGTAAACAAACTCAGTACATGTACAGGCCAAGGCTCATGTGAAAGCTCCTGAACTCACTGAGCTGCAGAGGCTGCACTAGCACTGAGGAATAAAACAAATCTAAACCAGAACTAAACAATGACTAAATTAGGTCTAAATCAGGTTTAAACCAGAACAAAAAACAGAGTTAAACCAGGTCTAAACGCGTTGTATGTATCTTCTGAGTTTCTGTGAAACAAAGAGAGCAGTGGTATAATAAACCAAGATTAAACCAGGACTAAACCAGGTTTAAACCAGGTCTAAACCAGGTTTAAACCAGGTCTAAACCAGATCTAAACCAGGACTAAACCAGGACTAAACCAGGTAAACCAGGTTAAACCAGGACTAAACCAGGAAAAAACCAGGTTTAAAACCAGGTCTAAACCAGGACTAAAACCAGGACTAAACCAGGTTTAAACCAGGTCTAAACCAGGACTAAACCAGACTAAACCAGGTCTAAACCAGGTTTAAACCAAGTCTAAACCAGGACTAAACCAGGTTTAAACCAGTTAAACCAGGACTAAACCAGTAAACCAGGTCTAAACAGGTTTAAACCAGGTCTAAACCAGGACTAAACCAGGACTAAACCAGGTCAGGAGACTAAACCAGGACTAAACCAGGACTAAACCAGGACTAAACCAGGTCTAAACCAGGTTTAAACCAGGACTAAACCAGGTTTAAACCAGGTCTAAACCAGGTTTAAACCAGGTCTAAACCAGGACTAAACCAGGTTTAAACCAGGTCTAAACCAGGACTAAACCAGGACTAAACCAGGTCTAAACCAGGTTTAAACCAAGTCTAAACCAGGACTAAACCAGTTTAAACCAGGTCTAGACTAAACCAGGTCTAAACCAGGTTTAAACCAGGTCTAAACCAGACTAAACCAGGTAAACCAGTTTAAACCAAGTCTAAACCAGGACTAAACCAGGTTTAAACCAGGTATAAACCAGGACTAAACCAGGACTAAACCAGGTCTAAACCAGGTTTAAACCAGGTCTAAACCAGGACTAAACTTCGTCTAAACCAGGTCTAAACCAAGTCTAAACCAAGTCTAAACCAGGTCTAAACCAGGACTAAACCAGGTTTAAACCAGGTCTAAACCAGGACTAAACCAGGACTAAACCAGAACTAAACCAGGTTTAAACCAGGACTAAACCAGGTCTAAAAAAAGTCTAAACCAGGTCTAAACCAAGTCTAAACCAAGTCTAAACCAGGTCTAAAACAGGACTAAACCAGGTCTAAACCAAGTAAACCAGGACTAAACCAAGTCTAAACCAGTCTAAAAAAGTCTAAACCAGTCTAAACCAAGTCTAAACCAAGTCTAAACCAGTCTAAACCAGTCTAACAGGTCTAAACCAAGTCTAAACCAGGTCTAAAACCAAGTCTAAACCAGGTCTAAACCAAGTCTAAACCAAGTCTAAACCAGGTCTAAACCAGGACTAAACCAGGTCTAAACCAAGTCTAAACCATGTCTAAACCAGGACTAAACCAAGTCTAAACCAGGTCTAAACTAGGACTAAACCAGGTCTAAACCAGGTCTAAACCAGGTCTAAACCAGGACTAAACCAAGTCTAAACCAGGTCTAAACCAGGTCTAAACCAGGTCTAAACCAGGTCTAAACCAGGTCTAAACCAAGTCTAAACCAGGTCTAAACTAGGTCTAAACCAGGTCTAAACCAGGTCTAAACCAAGTCTAAACCAGGTCTAAACTAGGTCTAAACCAGGTCTAAACCAGGTCTAAACCAAGTCTAAACCAGGACTAAACCAGGTCTAAACCAAGTCTAAACCAAGTCTAAACCAGGACTAAACCAGGTCTAAACCAGGTCTAAACCAGGACTCACTGTATGTATCTGTTGAGCTCCTGTTTGCTGCAGCGGGACCAGTGGTACCGGTGGAAGGCGGCCTGGACCAGAGGAGCCATGATGGAGCCCATGGACGTCTCGTCTGCACAGCGGTTCCCCTGACCATCGTGCTCCATCCCCAACCTAAAAACACAAACAACAAACACTTTTATTAAGACATTTGCACTGTGAAATCAGTAAATACTTCCAATTTAGAGTGTGGCGGCTAGTGGGTTAACTGCATCCATTTATATATAAACAGTCTATGATCTTCCCAAACACACAACAACCTGATTTTCACGACAGTTTTCCATCCAAATAGTAACCAGCCCCAGCTCTGCCCAGTTTCTAACACCAGGCTTTGATACAGTAAGTATTTTTCTATGTATTGCGATTTTTTATTTTTTTGACCAAGTAGAGATACAGTATATAATTTAAAGGTTGTATGGAGGATTTTTTTTTTGTTTCAAACTGTCGATGAAAGTTCAAAATAAAATTATAGCGGTGCAGCAGACCAAAAAAAAAAAAAAAAAAGAATGAAAATCCATCAACTGTGGATGCGATGGGGGCAGATAAACATCAGCCAATAGAAAACAACGCTACCTCTTTTTCTATTGGCTGTTGGGTTGTCAGTCAAACTCCCTACGTTTCTATTCGTCACTGAGTTGGTTTACGTTGACCTCAGGCACTGATGCTGTTTACTGAACCAACGCAGCGGTTCTTAGCGTCTTTTTCGAACTGCGGCTTCCTCTCACACAAAGTTTTGCACAAAGTTTGTTGCGATGGCCGACAAAAATTCACGACCAGTTCGCCACAAAAGAAAGTCTGTTTTTGACATCGCTGAAAGAAGAAGAGAAGGGGAAGAGGAGCGAAGCGCGACAATTGAAAATGGACAAACAGTCGCTGCATTTCTCTTTCCTTGGAAAAATCTTCTATACAACCTTTAAGCATGTCTGGGGTTCAAAATAAATCTGCTGTACTGTCAAATTATCTAATTATAAAGGCTTTTAACATGAACATTGGCTGAGCGGTCAGATGCACAGACCCGCTGTTGTGTCCTCACTGGAAAAAAACAATATCTAGCTAAATTAAAATGAGTTAAAATAAGACATTTTACTTTATTTGAGTCAATGCACCTTGACACGTGATGTAAATGTAAAATGTTTAATGTAAAATGTCTAAAAATTTTGAAAGAAAGCTCAAAATTTAGTGTTAGATTAGAAGAAGGGGGTGGGATTAAATAAGTTTTCTTCTTCTCACTCCTTTTTGGGCTTTTTTTTTTTTTTTTTCCTACTATAATTTTATTAATGTTATATGTTCCATTGTAAAATAATGTACATTTCTTATTTGCCCAAAATAAATACATAAATCCAGTAAAATTATCTACCAATGGAATAAGTGTGTTTTTTCTTAATTCCAGCAACATTCAATTTCGTTTCTTATTTTAAGTGTAAAAAATTTTTGTTTTTCTTATTTTAAGTGAAGCAAGATGTATTTTCATATTTTAAGTACAAAAAGTTGTTTCGCTTGTCATGTGAAATTTACTGAAATCATGAAAAAACTTTAATTCAAGTCATTTTAACTTGACTAGATGTCGCCCCCCGGTGTCTGGGTACATTGGCGTGTGTGAATGTGTGAGCGGTTCCCTGTCGTAAAGAGCTTCAAGTGTCTTGAAAGTGGAAAAAATGTGACCATTTAAGGTAAAAAAGGAATAACTTCCACTGCAAACTGTTTAAAATCTGTTAAATTCTGTGTTTTTAGATGGAAAAATCAGGTACAGCTCCTTTAAAATGATAAATATTGAGATCCTGATTAAGCCCAGTGCCGCAGATGTTAGATTAATAGGCCTTTTCCTTCTTCTAAACAGCCTTCGTTTGTGTTTTTATGTTGTAAAGTCTTCTATTTCCCGAGTCAAGCTGCTCATTTGCATGTCAAAGAAAAGCGCTCCACTCTCCATTCAACAGGTGCTCTTTGTCGGGGGAAAATCAGAGCCACAATTTCAACAAAACTCAAATCAGATCTGAGCGTGTGCGTTTGACTCCGACAGACTCTTGAACCGTCAGACGTTTCATTTTCAAAGTGCAGAGGCTCAACACTGGCCCCAGATGAGTAATTTAACATTTTGATTGTCTAAAATGCGCTGGAGTCCTGACATATTCAAATGTCTACGAGGCTTTTGTAAAATGTGAGAGGTTCGAGTGGGCGACTTTAAAGGGCCCAGATTACGCTGTTTTCTGAGCTTTGTTATAATGTTGTTTCCTCGTCTCAAACACATTTAGGCTGAGTTCTTCTCTCGAACAGAAAACACTCCACATTTGAAGTGCAGATGACAGGTTAGAGTATTTCACTAAAACATATCATATTTTTAGGACTTTAAGTCACTCTGGAGTATAAGTCGCACCAGCCAAAAAATGTGTAATGAAGAAGAAAAAACATATATAAGTAAATTTATTTTATAGAATTAGAGACGAGGAACTGACATTTCATCGTGAAAGTCAAGTTCTAGTAATGACTAGAAAAGCAGTCAGAGAGCGCAGACCTCCGCCAAGGACTACCCCCATTTTTTATACAAATTGCGATAAAATCAGTCTTCTGGATCAGATCCGGATCAGCCTTTGGAATATGAAAGAGGATCCCATTGTCCATCCCTGAGTCAAATTTCATGGGGTTTGGTCAATAATTAACCGAGATATTGAGAAACAAAATTTTTGGCCCCATTTACCACAATGTTAACTAAAATTTCAAAGTGATCCAGAATCCAGGATTTCTTCCGGATCACCCCCAAAATGAAATCAGTTCTTCCTTTTCACATTTCCAACAAACCCTGAAAATTTCATCAAAATCGGTCCATAACTTTTTGATTTATGTTGCTAAAAGACAAACAGACAAACAAACAAACAAACAAACAGACAAACAAACAGACAAACAGACAAACGCCGGCAAAAACATAACCTCCTTGGCGGAGGTAATAACAACAGAAGAGAGAACAACAGACTGTTAACGTCACATATGAACAGTTCTTCAGATAAACTATAACATAAACAACAGAACAGAACAAGTTTAACAAACTCTCCATCTCACTCCAAATCACTAAATCCATTCAATTCTTCATCGTCTGTGTCACTTCTGAGCAACTCGGCCTCAACCTCTGGAGGTACTGTATTTTAGGGGCTATTAGTTGCTCTGGATTATAAGACACACTGTCATTAAATGGTCTATTTTCGAACTTTTTTCACAAATAAACCGCACCAGACTTTAAAGGAAACACAACAGTGTGATGGGTGAGTGGTTTTGTTTGTTTGTTCGTTCACGGTGACTCTGGGCTTTGTTCAGTTGTGGCGTGTAGGGAGGTGCTGTCTGGGACCAACGGATTGTCGGCGTGTTCGCAGTGACTCAGTTGTTCAGTCGTGTCTAGAAGTGGCACATTGCGCTCGCTTTTTCGGTTCGTTCCTCCGTTCCGTTCCTCGTCGGCGTGGAGTGATGAGTGTGTCTGTGGGTGTGTTTCTCTGTGCGGTCTCTGTCTGCTCCGTGTGTGTTGTGTGTTGTTCTGGTGCGGCTTTGTAGTTTACTGAAGTCGTGCTGGGACACCTGAGTTGATTCATGTATAGGGCGCTCTGGCTTGCGGAGAGCGCGGCCGTTTTTTGATGGGGTTAGAGGCTTAAAAGCGTGTCTAATAGCCCAGAAAATATGGTAAACAGAGCGCCGCTTCCTCTTCTGTGTCGCTGTCGTCAGACTCAGCATCAGTTCCAGTTAGAATTATTCTGGTCTTTCTGAATCCCGACAGGATGGATTCGGTGTCACTGAAGTCCAGACTTTGTCCATCCATCCAGTGACTTCAGGAAAGTTTCATGGTGCATCCTCCAAGTGTCACAAGTTTCTTCTCTCACTCCAAACTTTCTTTCTGCTGCTCGATCATCGTTTTCAGCTGCAGATTTCTCTACTTGCAGTTTGTAATCTGCAAAATCTGATTTTCTTTTTTTGGAGGCATTTGTGTTCAGTCTTCTCAGTGTCTTTATGGCTGCATTCAGACTGTAGCCTGAAGTGACCCAAATCTGATTTTTTTGGCCCTATGTTCCTGTATCTGATCTTTTAATGAGTCTGAACGACACAGATCCGATTTTTTCAAATGTGACCCAGGACACTTGGATATGTGCTCCTGAAATCGATACATATCTGATCTTTTGACATGTGACTTCAGTGTGAACGGCCAAAGCGCATTCATCCACCTACACGTTATCAACAAGCCACAAACGTCACTATTCTGCACTGAAGTAGGCGAAAATTGTTAATGAACTCACTGAATGAAGCACTCACCACTCTTGGCTCCGTCTCCACATCCACATGTTCCTTTAAACGGACGTCGCTGCCGCTGTCCCACAAAACACCACGACCAAAAACCTCGTCCTTCTCCTTTTCAATCTCCTCCTTAAAACAAGTAAGTTGTTCATGTTCTGGCTCCGGTACGAGAGGAACTTTAAAATCTCCAGGTGCTCGATGCAGCGTCCATGTTTGGACAACTTCTGTAAACACAGAGACGCTCGCTGCGGTTGACGTCGTCGTGTCTCCAGTGCACATGTGGGACACTTTTGGGCCGTTTAATGTTCACACTGGAGTCACATTTAATTGGAAATGTGAACAATCTCGCAAAAACATCGGATTTCACAAAAAAACTGGAATTGAGCGTTAAACCTCTGCAGTCTGAACGTAGCCTATAAGTTTGTTTAAATGTTAAATTGTTCAGTGGTGCAGAAGTAACGGTGCGATCGACTGACATGATACAGACAGGACAGAGGCTCTTTCTGCAGGAGACATGCGCAGTAGAGCCAAGTGACAGTGGTACAGGAGGAACAGGAGCAGCAGATACTCACACACAAGACTAGAACCTCTCCACACTTCACTGTGAACATTTATAAAATATATAAGTCGCACCGGAGGATAAGTCACAGGAAACACCCAAACTATGAAAAAAACACCACTTATAGTCCAAAAAATATGGTACATAACATCATAACTATTAAGAAGTTCTTATTAATTTTGTCTTGTTTTGTCTGGTTGTTCTGGTGACATTTATCATTTTACTTCTTGGTCGGACACCAGCAAACGACACACATTTCTGTTAATTAGGGCCAAAGCTGGTCAAATTA